AGAGAGAGAGAGAGAGAGAGAGAGAGAGAGAGAGAGAGAGAGAGAGAGAGGCAGACAGACAGACAGACAGACGGACAGACAGGCAGACCGATAAACGGACAAAGAGAGAGTGAGAAGTAGATTAAACTCTTGTTTAAAAGGGGTCAAGATAGAGACACAAAAATAGAAAAAAAAGGGGGAGTTAGACTGAGAGAGAAATATTTGTCTGTCTCAGTTAAAAGAAGGTAAGAAAGAGAGAGACACAATTGACGAGATAGAGAAAAAGAGAAAGTGGTACAGATAGATTGAGAGAGAGAGAGAGAGAGAGAGAGAGAGAGAGAGAAATAGGCAGACCGATAGACGAACAAAGAGTGAGTGAGAGGTAAATTGACCAACGTCTGTTCAAAAGGGGTCAATATAGAGAAAAAGAAATAACGGTTGAAAAAAGCGAGTGAGTGAGACTGAAAGAGATATATTGGTCTGCGTCAGTTTAAAAAAAGGTAAAAAGAGAAAGATACAATTGACGAGAGATAACGAGAGAGGGAAAGAGAGAGAGTGAGAGAGAGAGTTAAATTGAATTAAACATTTGATTTATAAAATCTCGCAAAATTAAGTCTCATTACCTCTCGAACAATTACAGAGCATTTGTACTTACAAATAAAATTTACATAATTCATAATACAAAATAAGTATAATTCAAATATAATTTTCAAATATTATTGATGTTGTAGAAAGTACTATTGGGATGTTATATTTCTTATAAATATGTTTAGATTTACATGATTTTATAACATTGCGTAAATTATTGTAAAGTTTTATAGATTTAGGAAAGAATCAATTATAAAAATATTTTGCACGACACAACGGCATATTGAATGCCGTTTGAGAACATACAAATGTAGGTTTTTTTTTTTTTTTTTTAATTAGAAACAATATCAAATAGGTAAATGGTTTTTATATTGTTATTATGTCATGGAAAATAGTCCAAATTTTGTATTTTAACAAATCATCAATATTTTAAAATAGATAAATTACAATATTTGTCATTTGTAATTCTAGAATCATAATGTAGATTACAGATATAGCGAATACACATGTATATAAAAACAAGTAAATTATGAAAATTTTTACCAGAACTTTACTGCAAGGCCATAATTTAAATTTGGAAGCATTAGTGCATCACAAAAGTTTAGCTTCATGGATAAATTATTAATATTCAATTATACAATGTAATGTATTCCGTTACAAGCATTATCAACATGTGTTTACCTGGTATATTTCTCTATTATTAAGCCTAGAATTTTTATTTCGCTGTTTAAAATTGATGTACTATCATTAATTTTGATTTGTATAATATTACCTTTATTATTCAGAAATCGTGAGATGAGGCCTGGTGTGATGTAGGTTTCATAAGAACATTTTCTTTACCGTGCCAACGTTTCGATCTTTATTGAGATCATCATCAGGGCCTGGGATTTACAAACATTGTTCAAATTTAACAAATACATGTAGGATGTGGAAAAAAGTGAATTAGTTAAATTTAAACAATGTTTGTAAATCCCAGGCCCTGAAGATGATCTCAATAAAGATCGAAACGTTGGCACGATAAAGAAAATGTTTTCCTGAAACCTACATCACACCAGACCGCATCTCACGATTTCTGAATAATTATAGACTAGCGGTCACTAATCACCACCCAAAAATATTACCTTTCTTTAAATCTGAAAATCGTTTGTGCTTGTGGGAGAGAGAGAGAGAGAGAGAGAGTGAGAGAGAAAGAGAGAGAGTGAGAGGATGAACGAAATTCGACTAAGTCTGCAAAAGGCAAAAAAATAAAGACAGTAATGCTGGTTTGCCTTCCATTGACTCAAGCACTAAAATTATTAATTGTTATAACAGTAAATATGATGACATAAAACATTGTTATAACATAAAAAATGATCTAATATTAAATACACACTAGCAGGACAAGTTTTATTAATTCTGTACAATTTAGAACATTGGAAATTACAATTTCTTTTATTTCTACAGGGATCCCACAGCTCAATTTGCCACCTTTTGATCCGTTTTTTGCTAAGCAAATTATCCAAAGCAGAGGGAGCAACAATCTCAATTACAAATTGACTCTGCGCAACGTTTACGAAAGGGGATGGACCGACTCAATCGTCACCAAATTTAAGTATGTTAGACTTTTTTTAAGAACAAAGACTGAATATTTATTTTTGTAAACGTTTTTCAGGAGTAATCTCAAAAAAAGATACATCCAGTATTCGCAGTTTTTCCCCGAGAAGTTCCTCGAAGGTGAATACGAATTCGGTGGGAAAATAATGGCCTCCAACATGGAGAACAAGGGTGTTTGGAACTTGACGTTGTGTAAGTAAAGTTTAATTCAAAATAAACGCTTTTTACCTAGAATCAATAGCTTTACACAGTCACCAAATTGGATTCATTCAAATACATGTCACCTGGAATGTTTTCAATTTAAAATCCAAGAAATAACAAATATCTTTAAATGTATAATTATTAAATCATAACATGCGAAATTTCTGTAAGCACGGTACTATTTGTAACGAATTATATCCGGCCAGGACGACCAATATATATATATATAATCTAGATTGGGGTCGATGGCGTACTTTTATAAATATTCCTCCATCGACCCCGAACACTCACTCATACGCTCTCAACGTTCGAGGGGCGATGATGACGTTATATTTCACCCTCACCTCTCGCCATTCACGCTAATAAATACATGCACTCAGACAAAACATATAGACACACAACACATAAGTCATATTATATGCAATAAAAAAAACCAATTTCCCCTAAAAAGCGGAACAGGGGACGCAGAAACTCGCTGCAGTGCTCGAGTACCATTTTCAGATTGGATGGCATGCCTACACGCTCCCTATGGGGCAAAGGCATGACATGTTTCAAGTATGTGGGACACATCGAGCATAAGGGACACCTGCGCGGGCTTTGGCCCAAGAGCAGGTGCCCGTGTGTCAACCGGGTATGGCCTATTCTTAATCGCGGAAGGACGATTCCTTGTTTCCGATCCAGGTTCTCGGAGGGCCATCTACGAATCGTGGTCTTGACGCGCAAAAGGCTCTCGGCCCACTGACGCTGCCATCTTTCTTTTATCATTTTCTTTACTGCTACCTTGGCGTCAGAGGGCCTGATCGAGGGTCCGGTCTGGAGGATGGGCGTCCCGGTCTTTGCCGCCTCGTCCGCACGTGCATTACCCTCCAGCCCGACGTATCCGGGGATCCAGACTACAACCATCGTTTTTCCGAGGCGCTAATCCACTCTACTACTAATTGATTTATATAGAAGGATATACTGTCAGGTTATGGCTCAATATTTTTATAGCTTTATACAGAAGAATGTACTGCCTGGCTGTGGTTCAATATTTGTGTAGCTTTATACAAAAGGATGTACTGTTATGCTGTGGTTCAATATTTTTGTAGCTTTATATAAAAGGATGTACTGTTAGGCAGTGGTTCAATATTTTTATAGCATAAAAATGAAGACTGCTATACCCTGACTGGTTGCAGGGATAGATAAAGAAACTAGTGATAAAAACAACATAAAATTGTTAAACATGGGGTATGACCAGAATATCAGGCAATCAATACATTTACAATGAATATAATATTTAGCCTAACTGGCTGACAAAATTCTTAAATATCGAACAGTCTGAAGAAACTGTATATGGACAAAGTGAGGAAGAATTAAAGTATGCTAAATTTAATTTCAACTGACCGTAAATGCATAGCACAAATAGGAGAGAATTGACAAACAGCAGTGCTATGAGAGAGAAAAAAGGGAGAGTGAGGTACAGTTAAAATGAAAAGGGAAAAAGAAAAGATTGCACATTAAAGGAACTTTTTTATAGCGCAATAGAAGAAATTAGCTTACTATTTTTCGGTCCTCCGGGCCGGATTTTATCGGCAATTATCAATTATAAGATTAATTCTCGTTGAAAACTATTGTAATAGAGAGTGAGCTGTATGTTTTCCTGTAATGCGGTACATAAATTTAACCTTGGAATATTTATAATTACCCATAAACCAGCAGTGGATTCAATATTTTTTCAAACATTATTTTTCCAAGTGCACTTTTTTTCTTTCTCTTCCTCTAAACTCGGAGTAGTCTTCCTCTAGTGCAAAATGTCCTCTGACTTGGTATAGCTATTCTTCAGTTTGGACAACAAAATATGGATTCCAATAATAACGAAACAAACCTATTAAAAACTAGATAAAAGTTAGAAAGCGAATAATCTTTTATGCAAACAAAACTGCTGGATCCATAAAATAAGCCCCCTGCAAAGAAAGATTGAGGATTTTCTACAGCCAAAATACGTGACTAGGGCCACCTCATACTTCATACAGAAACGCATTGTGATTATTCAGAACAAGAGGAAAAGCTCAAAGAGCATTAACTTCTTTGTAGCGAAGAGAAATATTTTCGATGAGATCCAGCAGACCCAAGCGTGATCTTCCAATTGTAAATATAAATAACATTGACAAGCCGACCTCAGTTAGTTCCACATTTTTTTTTCCTACAATGAAACAGTGATCCGTGTAGTACATTGTGGCTTTGACTTCACGTCAGGAAACATTTCAAAGATTATAAAATTTTTTAACGTTGTTCCAGAATACTTTTTAAAACAGAACTACCTTACACTTTTCTTTATGTATAGAAATGACTCAAATGATCATTTTTAAAGTTCATTGACAGTTTTTCTTCACTAACATTTGTAAATGACTTATATTTTATGTATTTTTCAGGACGAACTCTTATCGCCCTTTTTAACCGTTTTTCAAGAGCCGAAGAATCAAAACATCAACCTAGTCAAAACATGTTTAAAATCGAAGTCGCCTTACTAACGACGCTCCTCGCCTTCGCGTCGACTCAAGACCCGAACTTGTACGAATTCAGTGAGTATGATTTTGATGACCTATAAATTATTACAAGGATAGTCGACCTGTACCTACTTCAAAGCTGGAAAGGAAGAGTTTTTTTTTCGTTTTCAATAACTGAGAAAGGGAATCAATGTGCTTGAATTTTTGGTGTTTTCTGGTCAAAAATATATTTTGAAAACATTGGTGTTTTTATATTAGACTACAGTTTTTTTTTCACAGATTGAAAGTGATGCGATGATATTCCATGGTTTAGAAAAGCTTCAAATAAATTTTTAAAAATTGAAAATTAAAAGTTTGAGTGTAGCTTAACTTAATGACCTCTCAATTCGCCTTCCCTCATGCTGTTTAAAGATTTCTATTTTTTTAATATTATGCTAGAAAAACTCTTTTTCCAGTTAAAACATCGTCTATCATCGGCCAAGAAGGCATATATTTATATGGAAAATTGGGGGAAAAATTAGAGCTCGATCAGAACATCCCTTTTCCTGAAAAGCTGTACTTTTTTCATTTCTGTTCACTTTTCTCCAAACCTCTACATCATATCGAAATGATTCTCGCTTCATTTAGTAAAACACTAAAAGACATAAATCATAGCAAACAGTCAAGGATTAAGAAAAAATAAATTATATTCACAGATCGAGAAAAAATTATGATGAGTCTGGTGGCTATACCAATAAGAAACTGAGAAATACCACTTTGGAATATTATTTTTGAAAGACCTGTCAGAAAGAGAAAATTAACAAGTCATTAAGGATCGTGTTAACTCGGTTGAGGATTGGCCATACACGTCTGACACACGGACATCTGCTTCTGGGTCAAAACCCGAGCACGTATCCCGCTTGTAGAGGAGTGCCGTGCCTTGGCCCCCTACAGGGAGCGAGTAGGCATGAACCCCGACATAAAAACGGTACTCGGGCGAGCAAGTCAGATGTTGGATCCCCTATTTCGCTTTTTAAGTGAAACGGGGGTGTTTCCTCACTTGTAAAGAGTGTTTAAAACTTGAATATCTGTGTAAATAAGTGTATCTGCGTTGTGTTTTATTGTGTCGTGTATTTATTTGTAAGTAATTTATTTATTTGTTTGTTGTAAGTAGGTGATGTTTTAGATTGTAGGGCCGATGGCGAAATATTGAGTACCCCATCGGCCATAACAGTGCAGTGAGAGGGGGCTGAAATGACTTTATTGTTGAAAGCCCCCGGGAAAAAAAAAGTCATTAAATAAGACACTTAGGAAAGTATTCGGAGTCTAAATGAGGTAGTGCATTCCGATGTATGTGTATTCAATAGGATCAATTCAATAGAAAGAAAGAATTTCAACTCCTCAAAACTCAAATTTAAGAAAAATCATAATGAGGCTGGCCCCATTCGAGAGAAAAAAAAACAGTTATACTAAGAAAAACAGAGTATTTTGAGATTTTTCAAAGGGGTTTTGTTCAGGAACTCCCAACCATTCCGTAGTGCAATTAAATGGTATGTTTGTTAGTTTCTGAATAAAACCCCATTAAAAACAACTGAAAAATAAAGTGACAACAAATAAGAAAGAAGAAAAGAATAAAAAGAATGTTTGTTAACATCACGTGGCCGATACGCTTTGTAACGCGTTTGCGAAAGACAAAGAAGGTCGGTGTACATCAGCCTCCAGGAGGTGAAAGTTTCTGATTTAGATTTATTCAGTTCGTCTTTTATAAACGAGGACGGTCTATAAATACTATTAATATCTTCATATGTACATATAATTAATTTTAATTTTTGTTTTATCAGGCCAGCATTTTTCAAATTGTAAATGGGGTTCGTCGGATTTTGACAAATGCGTCAAAGACGGGATCAATTCTGTCCGGCCCTACTTCAAATATGGTAAGTAATTCTTTAAACAAATATTGTATAATTTATTCCATTAGTTTATCAGTTAGGTCACGGTTGCTTATACTTTTATCATATGTTGAGGTTTTGAGAAATTTTGCCAGTAATGGAATAACAAATGACCGTTGGGCATGGCTTAACACTTTTTTATTGTCAATAAAACATTCGTTAGACCCTAAGGGGGCACTCAGGGTTTTTAATATTCATAAACCAAAGTGGCGTCCGAACAAAAACACCATTTTTGCTTCGAAATAAAATCTCATGGTCCAAAAAAAAAACCTAAAAGCCGAAATATTAAGAACTATCTTCCTGTATTTCATTCACTTGCCTGAATTCCTTAAAAATTTCGTTTTAACAAATTTGCATTTGCCGTTCTAGAAAGTACAGCGGTATGATATAAACTCTCGTATTAAATAATCGATGGGCCTCGCTAGCGATGTTTTATATAATGATTCAGTCAAAACCTTTTACATAACGATCGGACCAGATTTTGTTCAATTATATTCGGTAGCTAATCTGAAGTCAATATGTCAAGAAATTGTGGTGGTTGAGTTGAAATAACCCTCCCAAAAATGACAACGAAATAAAATTCATTGATTGACGATGAAGCGATACTCTTGCTCATTTTCACTCAGCATTATTAGAAGTAAAAGTTTCATTTTCAGACTACATACGTTTTCATAAACACCTTTCGACCA